GGGCGTGGCACAGCAGAACAGCGCGCGTGGGTGCAGGGCAGCAGCGAGCGCACGCGCGCAGGGCAGCAGTGATACGGAAGTGGTCATCAACCCCGGAGAATCAAGCGATGGAATGGTCGAAGATCTTGATCTATGGTTGGAGAACATGTTCGAGGAGCCATCAAGCCTAATTTATCAGCCTTCGTGCGAGAAAGATTGACCAGAAGGATGTCTTGAAGAGAAGGGGAATGATACGGAAGTGGTCAGCAACCCCAGAGAATCAAGCGATGGAATGGTCGAAGATCTTGATCTATGGTTGGAGAACATGCTCGAGGAGCCATCAAGCTCGATTTATCGGCCTTCGTGCAAGAGAGATTGGCCGGAAGGATGTGGTCAACGGGGAATAATACGGAAGTGGTCAGCAACCCCAGAGAATCAAGCGATAGAATGGTCGAAGATCTTGATCTATGGTTGAAGAACATGCTCGAGGAGCCATCAAGCCCGATTTATCATCCTTCGTGCAAGAGAGATTGGCCGGAAGGATGTGGTCCACGGGCTCAAGCGATGTTTCTAAGTTGAAGGCTAAGAAACGGGCATGGCGTTCGGAGTTTCGAAGGCGTGAAAGGCTAGGAATGGAAGATGGCTGGATATGGCGTGCTGGAGACTGCATTAGGTTGGAAGGTTGGGACCCATGGCCATCGGGTGAGCAACCAGAGTCGATGGGAGACGGAGGTGCGAGCACGAGCCAATAGCACGCATCGTGCCTTGATGCGCACGAAAACACGCGGTGTAATATCCCATTTAGTTATTAGTAATAAGTATCAATTTATCTTCAAAATCGAGATATTTTGAGGGTAAATAAGTTAAGAAATTGAAGTTTTTAAGTCATACGGGTCGTGTGGGTAGCCACACGAGTCGTGTGAGGTCACATTAGTCGTGTGAGGTCACACGAGTCGTGTGAGAAGTCACACGAGTCGTGTGACTCAAAGCATCATTTAACATAAGTTCGGCTTTGTCACACGAGTCGTGTGACCAAGTCACACGAGTCGTGTGACCGACAGAAATGATTAGATTGTCATTAACTCGTTTTTGGTGGCAACTAAAGTTAATTTTGAGCATTTAATTAAGAAAAGCTGATGTTATAATGTTAGGTAAGGATATGTTTAAAGTGACTAATTTTTACAAGTTTAAATTGTTTAATTTGTTAATTTCTTCACTCCAAAGTACTTTATTCTAAAATTTGCCTATAAATAGAGGGCTTCCAAATCTGAATTTTCACACCAAAGAAATATTACAAAGTTATATAAGTTTATTTGAGAGTTTGAGTGGTAGAAATGATAGTAAAGTGAGGTAATTTTGAAGTGAAGAATCAAAGTTTTCAAGTTCAAGTTCTTGCATGTTTTCAAGTTCAAGTTTTCAAGAAAGAGGTAATTATTTATCTTAACTTCATGTTTTATATGAGTTAAGTAGTTATTAGCATATATGTTGATAAATATGAAGTTGAAATTATAATGGAGTTTATGAATTCAATGAGTTTAAGTTATGTGTAATAATGAGAATAAGAATTAAGTTGTTTTAAGTTGAGATATAGATTGAGCATATTATTGGATTGAGTTTAAGTTGAGAATGAATAGAATTTACATGTTATCACCTTCATTACATGTTAGAATGTAAATTCTTATAGTAATAATGAGTAAGTCTTGTGTAGATGAAGAGTATTTATGAACAAGGATTAAGTTATTTGACATGTTATAATTTGTTTTTTTTTTTCGAAACGATAGGTTTTATAACAAAAAAAACACAATTACAACTAGACATCAGCTAGAATAAGCCCAACAGCTATCAACCCGAATCTAGGAGGAGTACACACATGAGTGCATCCTGAACAAAGCCAACCTAAGACTCACAACAACTCCCACAAAAGAGAATAAATGACATGTTATAATTTGAGATAAAGATTTTGAAGTTAGCATGCAAAGTGAATTTCATGATATTAAGTTGAGAATTGAATGTGTTGCTATTTTTAGATGGCATATATTATGTATTTCATGGTAAAGTTTCAAGAGTAATTGAAATGAAATTTCTCATACTATTAAGTGATGAGTAAAGTGATCAAGTTTTAGTTTAATATGTTGAGTATACAATTTTATATAAATTGTTTTAAGTTTTGCTTAGTAATATCATGAATTAAGTGTTATGATTTGATGTTAGGATGATATGAGAATTAAGTAATACTTTTCATTACCAAGTTCAAGACAAGGTTAATAGTTTATAAATCATGTATTTGATGTTGGAATAAGTTGAATATGTTGAGTTATTTTTCACTTATAAGTTATATGAGAATAAGTTAATGATTTTAAAGACATGATTTATATGAGTATTGATTGAGTTTTAGTTGAATGTGTTAAGAAGACAATTCTATGAATTGTTTCAAGAATAGTATATTGATATTATAATATGGTTTTGATGAGTTTTACGTTACCATTTTTATTTATATGTAAGTTTAAAATAAGGTTTGAATCATTAATTTATGTATGTGGAATTTAGTTTATTTTCACTTTTAAGTTATTACATGGTATATGAGTTTATACTAACATCTAAGTTTCAAAATCATGATTCATATGATTTAAGTTTGGTATTAAGTAAAAGTTTAAGAATTTAAGTAAATGTTCATTTGAGCTATAGCCGAAATTATCTGTAAGATTCGGATAAGTTATCAATTAAAGTTAAGAATCCCAAAGTACTATTGAGAATACTATGAGCATAGTACTTAGTAAATTTGTTTATATTTTTATGTAGTTGCAGATACAGCTACCAGTACAACACTTACAGTTTTCAAAAGTTTTCAAGAAAGAAAGGTGGGGACCCAGACTGGGTATTACATTGAGTATAATAGCTATTATCATGTTCGAGGTATGTATAAAGTTATGTACAGTATTAAGCTCGCTCAGTCAAGACTGGGTTCTGTGGGAGGCGACGCCCAGAATGTGATCACGTGAGAACCGGCCCAAGTTACCGGTAGTTGCAAAGTTCAAGTTAAAGTATCGGTTAGATACCGAAAGATTAAGCTTAAACACATACAAAAGATCATGATATTGATATTATTATTGTTGTTTACTTTGGTATGGGTTTTTACGGAGTACAGTTGATTAGTACTCACGCCCCACTATTATCATTTTTTTCAGGAATTAAA